TATTCATATTTATTTTTTTCTCATCACTGTTGTTATTATTCGAACCGAAGTGAAACGGTTCTTGATACTGTTGACTGGTTTTAAGTTCTGTTCCGACTGAAGCCTCATAAAATGCCTTTTAAGAAAAAAATTTAGAAAGAAGACGTGCTTGTATGACACGCATGTCAAACACGGTGGAAAAATAGTTTCTTTTGCTGGTTTTGATATGCCGGTTCAGTATGGTAATTTCAGTATTGCTGATTCTACAGTTCACACTAGGTAAATTTATAAAATTATTTGTAGTCTCATCACAGCACCATTACTTTGTTCAAAATATTTCAACTTTATTTGGTTTCATTAGTACCTAGAAACGTATTGACGCATTTCATTTTCTTGAGGCTGAAAAGGTTGTTGATATTTAAGCAGTTGATGAAGCAGTATCTTGTCAGTCTTTATTTAGGAAGCATGTAAGCATTTTTGACGTGTCGCACATGTTACAAACTCGTATAACGGGCAAAGACAGGTAAATTCCCTAAACTTTTTGAATTAGTGGAATTATTGGTTATAATGCTATTTTCCGTAGCTTCTTCACATTTTGATTTCACTGTTTTGGTTATGATTTTGTCAACTTTTTTAACTGTTCAAAAAATTTTTCTTTTATAAATTCCTGAGTTAATAAGATGAAAGTTGTGAAGCTATTTCCAGACTTTGAGCACGCTCTGTAAATAATTTGCCAGAAAAATTTTAGTCGGTGACATTTCCTCACTGTTTTCGAAACCTCTTGTTCAAGTTCTTTTATCACTTTTTTTGGCGACTCAGAAAGGAATATGTTCATTAGCTTTAGTTCACTCTGTTTTTTCAAGTTGGTAGAGGTATTCTGTTCCTACAAAACATAGTTATAGAATTCGATTTGTCGAGTCTATAACCACAGCAGATGCAGAAGGTTTGAAACCTAATCAAGGAACGCTTTCAGTTTTCACGAATGAGAAGGGTGGTATCAGAGATGATCTGATTTTTACTAAAACGGATCAAGGTTATATTTACATGGTTACGAATGCTGGCTGTATTGACAAAGACTTGCCGTATCTTTTAGTAAGTTTAGAACTGGAATGTGTACCGAGTGAGGAGTTTTTATCGTATATTTATTAGAGTCATTCTGTCCAGTAAAAGTTTTGATTTGTAGAAAAAAAATATTACAGGAGAAGTCGAAGGAATTTAGGAAAAAGGGTGGCGATGTGGCTATTGAGACTCTAGACGGAAGAGGTCTTGTTGCAGTTCAAGGTATTTAAGTCTATCAAGCGATTAATCTCATTTACCATAATTTGGATTTTTGAATGAAAATAATTTAGGTCCTGAAATGGTAAAGCTGTTGCAACCGGAAACTGACATTAACCTTAGTAAACTATACTTCATGCATTCTACTATTGGTACAGTTTGTGGTATTCCGGACTGTAGAGTAACACGATGTGGTTATACAGGAGAAGACGGCGTTGAGGTCCTAGATTTAAGCCTGTCAAGGAATAAGTTATTTCTGTTTACAAAAAGTACCACATGAGTTGTAGGAAAGTTTTTTAGATTTCTGTTGATCCTAAAAAAGCTTCTGATCTGGTTGAGAGGTTGTTAGGGTCGAAGAATGCTTCTGCAAAATTGGCTGGTCTTGGAGCACGTGATGCATTACGTTTAGAAGCTGGTTTATGTCTTTATGGGAATGATATTGACGAAAATACTACACCAGTAGAAGCTGGATTGTTGTTTGTAATTGGTATGATTTTGTATGAACTTGACTTAGGAATATAAAAGTATCTTTTCGTTTCTGAAGTGAATTTTTTTATGATGTTTTATTGTATTTGTCTTTATTTAAACTTCTGTTGGACACTGACGAATTTAGCTAAGCGACGAAGGCAAACGAAGGATTTTCCTGGTGCAGAAAAAATAATCTCACAAATTGAAAAGAAAAATGTACCGAAGAAACGAGTTGGTCTTATAGCGGCTGCAGGCCGAGCACCTCGAAGTAACTGATTTTTCTGTGATTCTTTTATAGCTGGCTGATGATAGTTATGGAGTTAATTAATACGGTTCAGGTCATCTTCCTGTTTTGGACCCTCTGAATAAGGCTGCCGTGGGCTTTGTTACTTCAGGTTGTCCATCTCCATGTTTGAAAAAGAATATTGCAATTGCGTATGTTGATGGTGACCTAGCAAAAGCTGGGAAAGAATTAGCAGTCGACTTTGGCAATAAATCGACTTCTGTTGTTATTACAAAAATGCCTTTTGTTCCAACGCAGTATTATATTGAAAAGACACAAAAGTAGGACTTAACTTCTATCTGTGTTCTCTCTTTTCGCTTTTTGTTCACTACTTTTTGTAGGTTGTTAAGTCAGGTTTTAACTTAATTATAGCCAAGAAATCTTCACCTAAGTTATCGCTGTACACTTCTTATGTTAATCTAGTAATTTAATATCTCACAGGTAATTGATTGGGCTTTCTTCTCCAAGTAGTTTTAGCCAGGTGCACGTGAATACTTAGCAATATTTTGGTGGAATGAGTTCTTAGTGATTTCTGTTTCGGTTTTTTTTTTTGTTTTAATGCTATAAGCTGTTAAACCGCACTCTTCATTTAAAGGTAAACTAATCTTCCTATTTATTACTCATCTTAATCGAGCTGTTGTGTTGAAGATTTTTTTGCATTTGGTGTGTATCAGCCATAGTATCCTTTTTTATTTCAACAGATGTGTGCAGGATAATTGATTGGATTAACAGTAAAATACTGGGTACTAATGATTTGAAAAGCAAATAAGATCGGTTCTATGTTTTGGTGATGAGGATTCTAAATACATATTTACTTTTCAGTTTCAGCCAAAAAGCGCTGACCGTTGTTTGTCTGGCTGTAGAATAAAAGAATAAAAGGTGTCGAACGATATGGTCTATATTTGTTAACTGGTAACAAATAGTTCATGTAACAGTAGGTTTTGCGGTATTTTTGGAAGATAGTTTCAGAAGTATGCAGTGGTGAGAGATTTTCATGTTGTTAATGCTTTGAAACAGGATGCTTTTCTAGCTGTCCGTTAAAGAGTGGGTTTCACGTACTACGACAGACTTCACTAACGGTAGATCAAGATGTAAAGACCAAACGGTTTCTGACCGTTGTAAGAAAAAGTTTAGTGGAATTTAACGAAGGTAGTGTTTTAGAATTATTTCAGAAGATGCTGCACTGCTTTAAAAAAATTGGATTATTCTTTGTGATTTTGAGTACATAATTTCAAATTTACGCTATCGTTCTTAATGTTCTCAGCTAAAAATGTTAATTAACATGTAGATTCTGGTGCCTGAGCTGAAACCCGTAGAGCAGTTAAAATGAAAATACATAGTTCAAACTCGCTTACTTCTCCTTATCATTGTTTAGTAACTTGTCATTTGTATAGTTTTGACCTAAGACAAACTTACACGAAATACCTGGGAATTGCTCAATGTGTCATCAAGAATGCTTTAGTAGAATTAAAGGATCGTTACGTACGCAGTCATAAGTAATACTTTGACATCAGCTACTGTTATGAATATGGACTTTGAATAATAGGTGATAAAACCGCAAATTTAGAAGATATTTGCACCGGTTTGGATAAACTGCATAAATGGTGAAGGATTAGACTTTAAGCAGATATTCGTAGTGTCCTGACTCTATTATAAGGTCGTTGATGAAAGAGCAGTTGTATCTTCTTTCAGCTGCTAATTTTAGAGAATAGCCTAGCTAGCTCTTTTCGTAATGCATGACGTCTATTTCATCTAGAGAGTTTAGTTTTAAATTATAGCAACGATTTGGATTTTTACTGTAAAGTTTCTGTAGCGATTGATACCTCGTTTAAAGAGCTTATTCTGTTCCTTCGGTCTGACCGTATGTCAACTAGAATTTCTATATGGCCGTACGAGTTGTTGATTATTAAAATATTTGAGAAGAACTTGATTTATGTTGGACTGATGGAGAAATGTTAGTTTAAGAAGAGAACTGTTGATTTTTGCGCTATGTTATGGTCTGGATAACGGGATAAGTTGGGATACGGAAAAACATTTTTATATAATAATGTTTGTTCAAAAATTATAGGTCTGGTTGAAAGGTTACAATGTTTGGAAAAGGTTTTCGTTGTTTGCTGGTCGAAATTTATGTATATATGTCGCGCAGAAATACCTAAGTTGAAGGTGCTAATTGCACATCCATGTGGTATAATAAGCTAATTTTATTGACGTCTCCAAAATTATACTGGCTTTGCTCTACGTGTCAACAGAATGTTAGTCGTTACTATTGTCATCATTCCTTTCGTTATTACACTTTGTAATTACACTTACCATTTTGAAGAAAACCGTTATAATGGGAAAAAAAAGAAACTGTTGTCAGTCCGTTAGTGTTTTTCTTTGAGTATGTGACTAAATAGCCTTTGAATGTTGTCTATTTCATCTTTTTATATATGAATATATATTGGTGAGACTGGACGGTGGACAAAGTTGGTGATTTTCGATAGGAGGAAAAAGCAGAACAAAGTTAAATGAAATTTTTTGCTGAATGATTCTGGGAAAAAAGAGAAATTTTTCTGTGTAAAATTTTCTGCGTTATTTTTTTTCTTTTTTCTTGTTTTACATACAGATCTTATTCATTTTTTTCTTTTTTCTTTTTAACTTTAACAAAACAAGTGGATGAAGCTGTTTGAGTTTGTTTATATTCACATACGAATACATATGGAACATCAAATAACAAAAGCACTTTAGAAGTTTTGCCTTGACGACGATGTTCCATGGGTCGTCGGTATGTTGTCGTCTGCAGCGCTCTCGTTGTTGATTCCCGCTATCCGGCCTCGTTTTCTTGGACCCGACTACCTCGCCTATTCCATCACAGTCATCACTTCGTCAACAAAGCTGTTCATCTATTATTTATTTGTTTTTTTTTTTTAACACAAGAAATTTGTGTTTCAAAAAATCCTGTTTAAAATTATCGGTCATTCTTTTACATCTGCAACTGTTTTGGTTTTGTTTCACTTTTTTATTTTCAATGGACCAAAATAAGCACACAGAAGTAAGTTTTTTTTTTTACAAAATTTTACTGGATTTATTAGAATCTATTTGAAAGAGAAAAAATTTTGCAGCACTTTCAGACTTTCTAAATCATCGAAAATAGTTTTTCTTTTTCGCTTTTTAAGATACCATAGAAATAAAAACGAAGAAAGAAATATAGAAATTAAACAATAAAAAAATATTTTGAACAAATTTGAAAAGATATCTACCGCTAATTAACATTTGTTTCTTCTTCACCTCCCTTTTTATCACTGCCGTCACCCTATCAACTAAAATTAGCATCTGACATCAATCTATGCAATGCACTAAAATTGTTTAATTTACCTATCTTATGTAGCCTAAATAAGTCTAATAAATTCAACACAACAGCAATACAGCAACGTATTTCTTCCTCTTTTTTTGTTTGTCCTTGAATGACCTATTGTAAAGGTTATGGATACTGATACAGTTGAAGATTACTCATCATTTACTATTTAGAACAAAGTATACGTAAAAAGAAAAAAGCAAGTTTTAAAAACAACAACAACAAAAATAATGTAACGCATATGGTGGATATAATACAAAGTTATATCGGGGAGAGAAATACGGTGGTTTACAAAACCGCCTATCTTCTAATTCCAACCGCAGTAACATCTTACTATTTGCCAGTTGAAAACGGGAGTGATAATGGTCCGAAAAAGCTGAGAAAGTGTTTGGTACAGTGCCGAAAAATATAGTAATATCTGGCGACTATTGCATGATGTATTCATCTTTTTAAGCGAAAAATTAGGCAAACAGGGGCAAAGGTTGACAAAATTGAAAAATTTTTGAAGAGACTATAGAATATAAATAGGAAAAAGTGATTGTCTGTGTGTGTAACAGATGCCGTATACTAAAATAAGTTTTGTGCTTTTACTATGAATTAAGTGTTTTCATTTTTTTTGGGACGGGGGTGTCCTTTTTAACAAGAAATGAGATACGGTACTGATACTAATAGCTGAGGTTGAGGCTACTGTTTTGACCTAAAAAATGACTGTGGTCTATTGTACAGTGGCCTAGAAAGTCTAGCAAACAGAAAACAGACATCATTTTGAGTTGACGTTTTGCAATGAGCGTTGCTACGATTGAAAACCGTAATGCTATTTAGATTCTGAAAAGGTGTACAATAGAGATGTCTAGCTGGTCAGCGAAAAAAATAGGTGAAGAATAACTTTTTTGCAACAGTTTTCAACTGTTGATGAACTTTGACGCGGAATTAGAATTTAAAATCGGATAAGATAACCTGAAGACCACCAAAGTTGAGATTTGCCTATGGTTTTTGTTACTGCTACTGCATTTGATAGTACTTTTGCTGGTGCCGCTGCTGTTGTAAGCATAAGTGTGCTGAATACTGACAAGTGTTGGTTTTTTTTTTGATAGCTTTTCTCCAAGACATTCACTGTTCACAATGACACCCACTTAGACAAACTCGATTTCTAGTTTAAGCAGCAAAAACAATAGTAGCAAAAACAACAGCGACAATAATAGTAATAAT